TCAAATTTGAATTTGAATTATGAAACCTCCTTTCAAGAGTTGTTTAGTTAAGTTTGGTTTGTCTGTTAAAACACTGATGTGAGAAGAGTCTTTGAAGAGAAATAAAGAAAGTGAAGTGGTCAAAATGTAAACAGAGATACTCAGGCAGATTTCAGTAGGGAAAGTGAACCACTCATGAGTGGCATTAGCAGGTCATTGAGAGTTTAAAATGCGTGATCTGTTTGAATCTTCTGAAGGACCTGTAACATGCTGTGATTTCCTCCTTACACATGAGGAATGATGTTTCCTGGTCATACCAGTGTGGACTGAATCTAGTGGAGCCTTTTCTAGCTTCAGTCTTTGGATGAGTCCTGCAGAACTTGCACCATATAACTGTTAATTGTATACAGGTTGGGGGAATAGTGGAATAATAATCCCCAAGTTAAATCTAATTTGGCTCTCAAAATTTTAGATGAAATAGAATTTAGCATAAACAAATTCTGGAAATGGGAGAAAAAGAGGACAATGAAATGTGTGGGGGGGGTGTGAAGTAGGTAGAAGGAAATTAAGAATTAAACATGAGAATCCAGAAGCCCTCTCCTACCACACAAAGGCATATATAGATTTGTAGTTCGGATAACTCAACTGAACCAGAAACTTCTAAGTGAGAAGAGGAAACACCTTTTTCATAGGTGCAGAGAGGCACACAGACACAAATGTTTCCACCCTGAGCTCTGGAGACAAGCTCCTACTGCTTTGGTTGACCAGAAGAGGTTGTAGAGGAAATGTATTACTTCTATTCTCTCTATTCCATGCCCTCAGTCTGCACATGTGTGATTAGAGACACCACCCGAGGCCTGGAGACCATGGAAAGAGGGCTTTGGGATTTTGAACAACTGGCACTGTGCCTGTGAGATTGTAAGTTGGCCTTGGCAGTGCTTCTCCACCTGCCTGTCATCCTCTCCTACTGCTTGAACTGCAACTCTGGTTACTATCTGTCCAGCTAGATTTCTTTCCAATATAAAGTCGATAAGCTTCTCTCTGCAAATAATTAACTGATGGAATACCTTTCAAGGATTTCACGATAGAGTTATCATTTCCTTCTGACACCATCTGAAATACTCACAGGAGAATAACTTTGAAAAGATGCAGAAAAATAAAGACTGAGTTTACAATAGCTCATCTCAGGGATGTTGTGACTGTTCCACCTTGCTCTTTAAATCAATGTAGGAGGCAATATTCTTCCCACGACAGCAGTGTTGAATTAGTGACAGCAGTTCCGGATTGAAGAGGAGACTCTGGGGTGATGTAGCAGAAGCAAGAATAGCATGGATAACATAAAGATTCGAACTTAGAAAAGTAATCTAGCAAACTTGGGAAATAAAAAAACTTGCAGCAGACCCTAACCATAGCCAAGGAACTACTGGCAATTGATTACTGCTGGGTGAGGGAGAGTTGATATTCTTGAAGGGACTGACTTTAGATAGGTTGACTAGACTCCAGTGGATGAACTTTCACTGGGGACATCTTGATTTTGGGTGCAAAAGCTTGATTGAATAGGCCTTAACATATATGACAGAATGCATGAAATCTGGTGGTGGTGTTGGGTATTGGGGTGTGTGGATGGGGTCTAAATATGATTAAGATTTATTATATGAAATGTACAAAAATTCAATAAAAAATATATATTAAGGATTAACAAAAATTTTTGTTATACCCTCACCTCTACTCCACTCTTCACCTAGAGGTGAAGAGAACACATTCTCAAAAGGGCACGTCATTCTGTGATTGAGTGATATGAGAGAACCTTTCTCTGTCTTCTAAATCAGAAGATGCAGATTAAGAGCTGGTGACCATGTGAGGCTTATCAAGATGCAGGAAAATCTTTGTGATTCCCTGTGCAAAGATCTGGAGAAAATATGAGACCAGAGCAGTATGCAATGTATCCTTCACACAGATGACTCTGGGAATCTTTTCTATTCTCTTTCCATTTTCACTATCCCATCTCACCTCATCTGACAACTCCCCTTTAAGCACTTGCTGTTCTCAAGGCTTTAATGGCCGCCAACATTAAGCTGAGATTGTGGCAATGTTGAGAAAAGTGAGCTTGCTCATGAGACCTTCCTCTAAATAATGAGTGTATCATAGGGCGATTCAAGGTTCAATATGGCCTGACTTCCCTGCTTATCTGTCATGATTTATATGTCTAGCAGCAATTAATTCATATGTACCTTTAGTTTCAAATGATAGAGGAGAGAAAAATTCAAGGTGAAAATGTCCCTGAATCCCACTGTAAACAGAAACACAATGCTATCCTTTCCATTTTTATTTCTCTTTTAATTATCTCTGAATAATAAGAATATATTTCTATTAACAGGTGGATCAAATGACTTCCTTTATAAAAAAGAGTTAAGCTCCCAAAACATGCAATTTTTCCTCTGCCAATTCAAAGAAATTTTCTAATTACTTTTGTTTGGTGGAAATATTAAACATTTTCAAATCTCATTTACTTCAATGTCCATTATCATGCCTCATGCATACATAGATTAAGCTACTTCTTATTTTTTATTTCATTGTCTGGCTCTATTTTTTGAGACAAGGCCTAGAACTCACCATGTAGACCACCAGACTGACCTCAGTCTCACAGAGAGTCTCCTGTCTCTGCCTCCCAAGTGATGAAATTACAGGTGTGTGCCACCATACCTGGCCTAAGCTACTTCTCATTTTTAAAATGTCATTTAAATTGTAATTCATCTTCTGTATTCAGGAAAGTTCTGGAAAGGCTGTATTCCTTCTGCAGATATTTTGCAAGGATACTGTTATGAGTGGAACTGTATTTTCCTAAAATCCAGGACCTCAGATTAGAGTGGTATTTGGAGAGGGGCTCCCCAAAGAAATTTTCATGAAGATAATATAGTTGTGGCTGGTTCTTAACCAATAGGAGTTTATCTTCATTAGAAGTAGCAATTAGGTGAACAGCACACTGGGAGAGAATCATGTATAGGAGAGATACTTCAGAAAGAAAGAACCCTGGTGTGATGGCTAATCCTGGGTGTCAACTTGATTTGATCTGAGATTAACTGAAATGAAAGAGAACTTCTTGATTGGATCATCTAAAGCCGGAAAACACACCCTAAATGTGGGTGTTACCTTCTGATGGCAGCCGGTATAAAAGACCAAGGCAGAGGAGAACACAGGGCTTTTTGCGGCTTGCCTTCTCTCTCGCTGGTGGGTTCATCTTGCTGCTGTAGACTGAAGACTAGCTGATATTTTGGAATTTGTCAGACCTCCAGCACCGGATTGGGACTACTGAGACATCCAGCCTTGTGGACTGAGCGACTACAGATTCTCAGCCTCTCCAGTGTGGTGCAGCCATTGTTGGACTACTCGGACTCTATCCTGTGAGCTAAGCTGATAAATCTTTATACATATTCATTCTACTGGTTCTGTTTCTTTGGAGAACCCTGACTAATACACCTGGAGACAACATGATCTCAAAATTCTAGTAGCTGTGTAATTGAAAAAATAAATATAGGCTGTTTAAGCGGCCCAGTGTGTGGGCCTTTGTTATGGTCCCCTTAGTAAACCAATAGATAACTGTTATGCAGCTGATATTATTTCACACATTTTACTTTCATTGTGAAAAAATTAGATTGTAACTTTTATAAATGATTCTCAAAGAGTTGTTTAAGGTCTCTGACAAAGCGAGCAGTAATTGAAAGGAGAGGGGCAAAGAAGTCTCCATATGTGCAGGTCTGTAGAAGGAACTGGATGTAGGAAAACATTTGTGAAGAAACTAATTAACAAACCCAAAACTGTCAGAATTAGGAGCTGAGGAGATGGTTCGTTGGGTGATTGTGTTTGCTGTATAAGCAAGAAGACCTGAGTTTGGATCCAACAGTCATATAAAAAAAGCTGGGTGTACCCTTATTCACTGCTGGTGGGATTACAAGCTGGTGCACCCACCTTGTAATCAGTGTGGAGAACTCTGGCAGTGTAAACTCAGTCAAATACACATGACAGGAGAGGACATAAGTCCTAGAGAAAACCCTATCTTATTCATGTCTCTGGACAAATGGAATTTCTTACCATATCCTAAATATGGATCCTTCTATTTACAGACAAGCATATCATACACCTCTCATTAAAGAAGCTTGTTTTTGCAACGGGTAGAGGCTATTGCAGAATTCTACAACTGGTAAGACACAGAGAATATACACCTGGGAGATGCCTAGTCCTAGGGGACACATCTACATTTGAGCCTCTACAATGAGGCTCATGGAGCATAGTATAACAAGGGGTAGAGAGAAAACTAATACATTTCTCAACTCTCACCATTAAAGCTTCCTAATATCACGGAGTGTAATGTACACCGAAGACCACAAATGGCCAAGTTTAAATGAATAAGAGAGTGCAGTGTGTGTCCTTGGATAAGACTCCTATATTGAACCTCACCCACCCATGACTCAGGGACCATCGTGGAATAGGGGGCAGAAAGATTGTAAAGGCCAGTCTGGTTCATGAACACAGGGAATCAGAGGTTTTCAGGCCAATGGAAGCTTGCACATGTGAATTTGTGGAGTTGATGGCATTGAGCACAGGACCCATGCCAGCTCAATTAAACAGGGCCCAACGGGGAGGAAAGAAATGGGTGGCAGGTGGCCCTAGACTGAGAACTATTGGAGACTGATTGCTACTGGGTGAGGGACATCTGGGTACAAATGCTTGACTGGATAGGACTTAACATGTATGGCAGAACACATGAGATCCGATGGGAAGATGGGGCCATGGATGGAGGAGGGGGTCTAAATTTGATTAAGAATTGTATGAAGAAGTTTATTTGTACAGAGAGATGCAGGCATTCTATTAGCAGTTTCAGATTAACACTTTCTCAGAGAAAACATAGAAGAGCAAGAGTAAAAACAACCCATGTGATGACATTGAGGATCCCTGTGGAAGTTTGAAGGCATGAGGCTGAGAGAAGAACAGACAGCAGTCAGAGGGGGCAGAACAGCACTCACTGCAAAGCCACATCTGATGCCCAGGCACAGGCTCTTCGTCCCTGCTCCCCTCTGCTGCCTGATGTCTCCAGGTTCTCCTGATCAAGGCTGCCTCCATGTCCATCCTCCTCAGGAGCATCCTCCAGAGCTCTCTGGAGAACTAACTTGGGGGTCTGGTGTTTCTTCTGCTTAAAGGAACCAGTGAAGAAGTAAATGATGTGTTGGCAGAGTTAACACAGGTTGGGAAGATACATAGCACATTATAATAAGGGAGACCAGATAACTCAATTTAAAACTTAATTATTAGGAACTGGTGGATACCTAAGGGTAGGCCACAGAAGGGAAAGATCATCAGTGTGAGAAAGGTGGTCACATACAATCTGGTCAGTGGAATCCAGGCTGGATTCAGAGAGAATCACACATAAAATAATCAGGTATATGGTAGTGGAGAAACCAAGTGGCACGCACCTGTCGTAGATAATTTTTGTTTTCATTCTGACACACTTGAACCTCTGCAGGGTGCTGAACAACAGGGACAGAGTCCAAAGGATTCCACAGATGATAGCTGACATATATATTGGTCTGTGGCAGCAGTACCAGATGGGACACAGGACTGAAAGGCAACATTCCATGCTAATGCTACTGAGTATGCTCGGGCCAGTGGTGTAGGAAGAGACAGTTATAATCATGGAAACACTGAAGAGAAAGAGGTTGAAGAAATGGTGAAGGATCCTTGCCATCAGTAGGACAACAATGTAGTTGAAGAGGACGATGATGTCAGCTGCAGGCAGGTTGAGGATGGAGACTGAGATAGCATTTCTGTGTATTCGGAGCCCCAGAAGCCAGATCACAACTTCATTTCCTGCAACCCCAACCAAAGCCACAATGATGATTAGCCAGAACAGGGTAGTCATCACTGGAAAGATTGTAATGTAGAAATCGTCAATTGTTTTGTTGACATCTGAACTCAAGGTTAATGTGGTTGGATACTTGCTCAGCAAACTCACAGTGGTGATCCTAAGAAAACAAACATATATGCATGTGGATATATACCCTGTGTGCACGTGGAGACCAAGGTCAACATCAGATGTCTTCTTTGATCTCTCTCCATCTTATTTTTGAGACAAGACCTTTCACTGAACTTGGAGCTCAGTGATTCTTCTAGATGGTTTGGCCAGTGAGGCCCTGGGATCATCCTGTCTTTGCTGCCCAATGGTATGACTACAGGTACCTACATTTGCATCCAAATGTTTGTGTTAGTGACAGAAATCTGAACTCATGTATGGCAAATTCTTACTGCCTGAGAAATCTCCTTAGCTCAGGACCTCACATTGACTAACATTTTGGACATAACATCACTATATGTGAACCAGAGACAGGTTTAGGAGACTAAAGGAGAATGTTCCAACTTATGGAAATCTAAATATTATATGATGAATAAGGTCTAGTGCAAGGAAACAAAGATAAGGAATTTAATCAAATAGTGGTCGGAATAGAGGTAGGGGGGTATCAGTTAAGAATGAATAGTAGAATTAAGGTTTCCTTTGCTGCTCTTAAAAGCAGACATATCTTCAGAATCCAGGGCACTGATGAAGGTGGGAGGATGTCAGTGGAAAGACAGACAGTCCTTCCATGGTACAGAGACATGCAGTGTGTGAATCCCCAGAGAGACCAGATCCCACACTTTGATTGGTCTCAATGAAGCAGGAGGAAAGCAGAAGTTCTGTTGTCTCTGCACAAGGACTTTACTGTTGGACTGTGTTTCTAGGTGTGAGGTATTTATCTTCCTCGTCAAACATGAAGCTCTATAAGAACTAAGTCTTGCATATTTAATACTATGCCTCAGTATTTGGCGTGAAATAAAATCAATTGCAATGTTCTCAGTTAACATGGTGAGAACACGTAGGGTAAACATGCAAAAAGGTTTTCCTGAAATCACAAGAGCAGGTCCTGTATCAGCTCCTTGAGCTTTCGTCTCTTTTTTTCTGAGAATCCCCCTCTGTTCTCTTCCCATCATTCCGTATTTCTGAGGAGCTCCCAAAATTCTCCATATAATCACAGGCTTTAGAGTCCATGAGCAACTTTATAGACTGCTAGATACCTCCAAAACCATCCTTCTCCTCTGAAACATAAAGACTCTTTGATATTTAAAACAGAATAGATTCCATTTCACGTTTTCCTCTTGTTACTTGATGTGACTAGATGCCGAGCATTGGGATGAGTAGAGAGATATGACTGACTCCTGGGTCCTGAGGTTAATAGAGGGAGGATACATTTTTATTTCCATATTTATTTTCTCTAGACTGTCATGTTGAGGTGACTGAGGGCCGTGTTTACTACAGGATGATGGAGACTCTTTAGGTCTGGGAACAGCAATTTAAAAGTTCTTTCTTCTGATGATTTGCAGCTTCCAAACTAGGTCTAATAAACTTAATGTACCAGTCCATCATTTTTATTTGATTAGCCCCTCTTATATTCTAACCATCGAAGCCTATATTCCTTTGAACAACTTCACTCTATTCTCAAAGGATTGTTCATCAATGTGTGATTCCTCTACAAAAGCATTGGAAAATAAAATGTAAACAAGACAAAATAACTTTGATAAAGATGAAATATGAAAAATTTCAATACCAAAGTCTTGAAAACTCCATAAATGAAGAAGACACATGGGATTGATGAAAGTTTCATGTATCATGAAAATTTTCCTTTGGTCCTTCTTTTTACCATCTGTTACCAAGAAGGTGGCATCATTGAATCATATTTGTGGGGTCCCAACCCTTCTATTTCTGCCTGAACTGCCTCAGTGGGTCACACACTTGGGATACTGGAAAGCAGGAGGACAGGGATGTAAGATTTTTATTTCCTTTTCTCTCATCCTGTTACTCTGTGTTGGCAATAGCTGTGCCTCTCCACTCCTCTAGTTACTTGCTATTACTAAGTTACAGCTTAGCTGTGTTCTTTCTCTGATATTACCTCTTAGTCTGTGGCTTAAAGCCTAGGACAGAAATTCTTTCACTCTCTTACCTTCTGAAGATTCACCAGGCATTTCCTTACCAGTAAACATTCCAGTCTTTGTAAAAAGTCCTTTCCAGAGATTCTCCTCAGTTGTTCCAATTTGAAAAGAGTATTTTTGAGAAACGTGATATAATGAAATCTTTTAAGAGGGTCTTAGCTTTGGGAAGCAATGTACGTGTCACCTTCCTTATTAATAAATGTAAGAGGCAGTTATCTATTCATGACAGGAAAGAGAATTCCAGATCCCTGTAAGAGGGAAACTGCTGTAAAAACAGATGAATGTAAATTAAGAGAAAATACCATAACAGGGTCGATTTCAGTGTTCTTAGAATATGTACACACCTTTCTTCCATTCTTCTGTACAGGGCTGTAGAAGAGCCTTTCTCAGATCGTGAGGTTCCAGAGTCCACTTCTCAGCTCTTCTCTAATCTAGGAACTACCTATAGAAGCTGAATAAAATTTTGTTCCCCAGAAAGGCTTATAAAAACTGTGGCTAGTTTTGTGAGTTCCTGAACATGTACTGGGAGCAAATCACAGACCTGGGACAACTCTCGAAGTTGCTTCATAGCTGATGCTTACACATCAGCCTCTCCCTTCTCTTCTCATTTAGACAGCCTTACTTCCTGTGTGAAATTTCTGTTTTCCCTTTTAATTGCAGCATCAAACAATGTAAACTTGCACTACAGGACTGTAAAGACTAAAGGATAAGTGTGGAGTTAGAAAGACGGATCAGTGAGTTAGGTGCTTGATGTACAACCATTAGGACAGGAATTTGGGTCCCCAGCACCCACATAAGAGTTGAGTGCAGTAGAGGTAGTGGGAGTTGTCACAGGAAGCATCTAGGGCTTTGGTGGAGAGCAGTTCTAGTCAACAGGGTAGTTTCAATGTTGAGAGAGAGGCTCTGTTTCAAAAAGTTTGTAAAGAGAGGAAGAGATCAACCTCTGTCCTCTACATTCTCACCCATAAGAAAGTGTGCCTGCAGACACAGGTACGTGCACACACACACACACAAACACACACATACACACACACACAAACATACACACACATACACACACAAACACACACAGACACACACATGCACAAGTTGAGAGAGAGGCTCTGTTTCAAAAAGTTTGTAAAGAGAGGAAGAGATCAACCTCTGTCCTCTACATTCTCACCCATAAGAAAGTGTGCCTGCAGACACAGGTACGTGCACACACACACACACAAACACACACATACACACACACACAAACATACACACACATACACACACAAACACACACAGACACACACATGCACAAACACATACACACACACACAAACACACATACACACACATACACACACAAACACACACACATACACAAACACAAACACACACACATACACACACATAAACACAAACACACACACACACGTACAAATACATTATGGAGCCGTTCATTCAAGGCTAA